CCTCTTCAACACCAGGTTGTGGGCTGTACATTTATCTACACATTGTTGATTCAGATGGAAAAAGCTCGAGCGAGTTAGTGGCCTACGAAGAGAGTATTTCTTCTATGGAATGTGCTTTATCATCTTCCTGATCATTCTTCGTCGGGATCCTCTTGCCGTTGTGTATTGTTCTGTGGTAATTATTTCACTATTTTTGGTGACGTAATATTTACTGAAATCGTAAAAATGGGCGAAATGTACCGCACTCAAATGGTATGGTGCTGCAAGGCATCTGAACGATCTGTAGGATTGAAGATCGATATCGTACATGTCACAAAAATGCAATGGCTGTGAAGAGCGAGCCCTCACAGCAATTCGAGCCTCGCCTGGAAGTTTCGACTTCTGGTTCGACCCCATCCCCATTTTCCTTCATATCTACCACTTTTCCAAGCTTTCCCATCTTCGTACCACTTTTCCCAAAAAAAAACTGCTGTGCCGAGCGAGGGAGGGAAGTGAGTGTGAAACATGAACAATCACCCATTGAAAAAAAACCTTCTCAGGCCAAATAGCAAGCCAGTAGCTCCGTCGACCAAGTACGACCGCCGTCCCTGGGGCTGAAGATCCCCGAAGTGCGGGGTCATGCCTCTAAAGAGGTTATTAAACGCGATTCAGCCCACACATGAAACTATGAAAGCCAGTCTATGCGCAACTCAGTGTTTTTGCCTTCACAAAGCCTGGTACCAGTCAATCGTCCCGTAGAGATGAACGGATTGGCTGGCTCAGGCGGGAGATGATCTGGGACTTGACCTTCGGACTGTGGGTGTGGCAAACTGCGCCAGTTGCCACTATTACCACCTCTGCCATGCGCAAGTAAATTAGGACTTAATATGCTTGGCGAAATAGCCACTTGAATATTGAGCTCCGAATTCAGTTAATCTGACTAGAGGATTATCTCTGAAGGTCAGTGTATGAGTCGCTGACGCGTTCAAGTGTCTTTACAGTTTCGAACAAAATACTATGCATGGCGCGACCTGAGGGCCATTGTCTACGATGGAGTACTTCTCTATTCTGTTTCTCTGTTGGTGAAAAGGTTTAGGCAAAGCTCCTTTGAAGCAGGTTCCTCATGGTAGTGGGTGCGAAACCATCTACCATCTACCACTGCACTTCCCCAATGGGCTCTTTTGAAGACGCCGAAGGGAAGCAGTGCACCTCGAGGAAGCCACAATGCCAAGACTGACTTCGCCCAATCTGCCAACGTAGACCACAACTTCAATAAACCCTACTGAACCTCTTTTCTTCACGATTTTTCGCGAATAGCTGAATAATAGCGGCATACTGTTGTCATTCAGTCCAGTTCTACGAATAACACAAATGAACTTTGTTTTTCGAAAACTCCATTTGAGGTACTACTTTGTCCTGCTGTATGCACGATATTGGTCCTTAGCGACGAACGCCTTGATGGAGCACGATTCTGGTTGGAGTACTGGATAGTTTACGCCGTGATCACGTCGCTAGGAAGAGCGTTTAAAAGGTCTTATGCAATTCGCTTACAGTCATGATCCTTCAAACGAGAGGAAGGGCCAATGACGTCATCCTGAGAACGATTTCACAACGACTGGCCGGAAGAGCTGTTCTAGCTGCGCTCTAGTTCACGCCCCTTCACACGCTCTACCGTTCGCAGGGATCATGA